CGAGCCAGGCTGCGGCCGGCTTCGCTGCTGCTGCTGCCCCCGCTCCATCCGGGGACCGGCTCCGGCAGGGCGCGCACGCACTGACCGTGCTCCGCAGCCGGGCCGGTGCGACGACAGAAAGTGAAACTCTCCGTTTTTTTCGACCGTTGCGTTACAGCGGCGCCACCAGCTCTCGCGGGCGCAGCTTTGTCGTTCGCGGGCGGCTGGGACCCCCCCTCTCCGCGCGCAGGCTCGGCCCTGCTGGATGCTGGCAGCGCTTCAGGCGCGGGCACTGCGCAAAGCGTCACGCGCCCACCCAAGGTGGACATGTGCAGCCCAGTGCAACTCACCGCTGGGAGCGTGAGACCCCGCTGCAGTGTTCAGCTGCTGCTCAGTGGCCGCGTAGGGCAGCTGTGTGCGCAGGGCTGGGAGGCTGGGGAGTGACCGTGAAAAAGCAAAGGGAGAGATCAGAGTTCAGGCCAGGCTTAAATAAAGAAAAGACTAAAATTAGAAGTTAGGTTGAGGCCGTTGCAGATATGTTGGGGGCGGGGGCAAGGCAGCAACTTTAACCATGATTCCAGGGGCTACTTGGGAACCTGAAAACTTCTGGTGTTTGCAGGAAATTAGCTGACAGGAACAAATTGCTCCTAAAACCTATATAAAGAGAGAAGTTATAGTAAACACCAGTTAAAGCCATATTTTAAGTTAATTTGTAAATGTAGAACAATTAACAGGAAGCTATTTCCAATCACAAATCTTGAGGTGTCAGTTTCAGAGCCTTAGATCAGAAAACCAAGTTTGATACTTTGTATGCTATCTTTTAATAGAGGTAAATAAAACCTGCTTACCTGAGTTTTATGGTCCAAATTGTGAAGAGGAGAATGAGAGTTAGTTTCTTCCAGGCATGTTTTAAATTAAGTAAATTACTAAAACAAACCCCCTAAAATAGTTGCCAGATTTCTACTGAATCAATAGTCCAATCACCAAAACAAAACAAACAACCCTTCTAGTCCAAAATTATGTTAATCTATTTATGAAAACAATTTTTTGTATTACCACATTGGTCTATACCTTTTAAAAAGAACCACTATTTAGAGTATAATTTAATGAGGGATGTTAGGAGGAGAGATCTATAGCAAACAAATATTGCCAGCAAAATCTTTGTGTGGGTTTATATGAATATTTATTAATAAATAGAAAGGATTGGAAGGAGGTTCTTAGTGTGTTGTTGTAATGATTTGTGAGTAAACATCATCTTCATGCAATTCACTCAAGTTTGTGAGACTCTGCCATCCTCAGAAATATTAAAAGGTAAACAAGAGCTAAGATGATTTAACAGTTGGAAGAGAAGGACATGCAGCACTACAGACACACAGCTATAAAAATTTCATTAAAATGGCCATCTGCTTAGAGCAGCATTTGTTTGTTCTGCACATATAAAGGATCAACCCCTCCTCAAAAGGGGGCCTGGGCAGAAGTCCTAGGATTGAAAAGTGCAACAATCCTGCTTGAGGAATCAGCATTTGTGTGTAACCGCCCTGCTTAGTAATCTGACCCAAAGCCCATTGTAGTCAAAGGAAAGATTCACAGACAAGTGGGAATAAATGGCAATACTGGAGTATTGCCTCTTCCCTCCCCCCCTCCCCAAATTGGAGAGTTGGAAAAATGGGAAAGTGTTAAGTGCAATTTAAGCAATGTTTGTGGTCTGATACCTTGTGATGGCTCCTTCCCCACTCTGGCATGATAAATGAAGAAGTGAGGCCAAGCAAAAGTACCCCAAAACCTTATCTACCAGGCTTTGGTATAAAACTTACCCCCAAAATATTAACAACCTAGATTTTGGGAATAAAATGCCGCTGCCGCCACCCAAATATTAATAAAGCAACCAGGGAGAGACTACTTGGGAAATCTCACCCCTAAAGTACAAACCAGGACACAAAAATTAACCAATACCAGATTAATAAAAAAAAAGAGAGAAAGAACTTTTATTATCACCACAATATTCCTGTTGCAGGCATAATGACTAGATGGAACAGTAACAAAATAATATACTCATGGAGGAGAAATTTACCATGGGCCAGGAACTTAGTTACAAAGGAGAGCAAAACCCATTTTTAAATGCACAGATCAGATCCCATTTCCCAAACCATAAAACAATAAAACCTAATGGATTTATCTAAACTTTATCCTACTTACAGACTGTGAAGAGTATTTTCTTAGCGTGAGACATCCTGTCCCCTTCAATAGCTGGAGAGAAACCCCCAAGACAAAGGAGGGAAAAAAACCCCAAAATTCCTTTGTCCCAGTTTGAAATTCCTACCTACATTTCTATTGGCTGCCTGCCACCTGGTTTAGGTAAGGGACATAGTTAACTTCTTAGTCCCCAGGATGCTGGCTAACCCTCAGGATCATGACACACCTTGGCTACATCTAGACTACATCCCTTTTTCATAAAAGGGATGTAAATTAGACGTATCACAATTGCTAATGAAGCGGGGATTTAAATCTCCCCCACTTCATTAGCATAAAAATGGCTGCCGCTTTTTTTTGGCACGGAGCTTTGCCGGAAAAAAGCGCCAGTCTAGACGCAGATCTTGTGGAAAATAAAGCTTTTTCCGAAAGATCCCTTATCCCTCTTTGAAATAAACTCCGTGCCGGAAAAAAGCGGCAGCCATTTTTATGCTAATTAAGCGGGGGAGATTTAAATCCCCGCTTCATTAGCAATTGTGATACGTCTAATTTACATCCCTTTTATGAAAAAGGGATGTAGTCTAGACGTAGCCTTTATGTTTTTTGACAGCAGGGAATGATCCCAGGTGGCCATTCTCTAGCACTGCTGCTCTTGCAATGAAGCATCCAAAGCTAGGTATGTATGGGGCAGCAGCCCCCTCCCTGTCACAAGGAGTGTGCTTCTCCTAGCCTTTGTATCAGATCAGCATGTAAAGATGAGGGCAGATAATGAAAAAATCTGAAGCAAGGGTCTTCTTACCTAAGTGCAAAACTTCCTTTCCCACCTCCCTGAGACTGCTTGTTTCAGTGAATATGAAAAAAAGTGCTGCTGAAGCTCCCACCCAGCCCTGATGTTAGCTCTGCATTCCTATTGGTAGAGCAAAGACTAGCAGGAGAGGGAGTGAACTAATTTTTCAAGCAGTACGGCTAAGAGGGGTGGGGAAGAGGAACATCAGCATAGCTTATTCTTTCTCCCCACACCAGCCAGCCAGCCAGCCACAAGCTAAGGGAGGCAAGTAGGCAGTGTTATTGCTTTAAGTTAAGCAACATGGGAGCTTACCAAGTGTCAGCCGAAGGTCAGGGCAGTGAGTCCCTTATGACCGGCTGAAGTTCTTTTAAATTGTGCTTGGTTCTGTTACAGCAACTGAAGGAGTCAGGTTAAAGCTTAAACAGTTACTATTTATTGTTACAGGGTAAACTTAGTTGTTAAATGCTACTACTGTGTAACAGATACCCCAGCATAACACAGCCACTACAAAGGACAGGACAGAAATTACACTAAGTCGTCACTTACAGGTACCATGAAACCCTTTTGGTTCTCTGAGCTCTTATTAAATGCATGCAAAATAGACACATAGCAGGTATATAGTCTCACCCCTGCGTTCCAGACTTGGCGTGGCCAGCGTCTTTCTCTCAATCCCTCGGGAAGAAGTAGGGCGAGGTTAGGCGTCCCACAGACCTCGGGAGACAATCAATACCTGCCAGCAGGTATAGATGATTGGAGCTCAAATGGGGTAGGCTACTGAACCCCTCTTTATACCCCTTGGGTTATGTAGGCTTCTTCCTGGGCTCAAGTAGCCAATTAGGAAAAATGGCTTTGAATGCCAACTTTCCCACGAAGGGCGCAAAGCATAATTCACACCTGGGAAAATGCAGACAATGGGCACCTCTGGTATGTGATGGGCGAAGATTCCTCTCCTGGGACAGTGCAGGCATGTCAATTACTGGTACTAGCCATCAGGATGGCGGGAGGCCCCGGGTCGTCAGCTAGCCCATTTACTGTCTGGTTTCTGTTTATGGTAGAGTCAGGGACAGGCAGCACACCTGCGTTCCCAGGGCATCAAAGGCTGATTGCCTTTCTCTTGCTCTCTGGGGGGGTGGCAACCAAGATGGGGTTCATGTCTGGCTACACCAAGGTACCTCCACCAAGTGACTTTGTGTTGTACCTAGAGCATAAATAGTAACACAATAGAGTTCCCTTCCAGCTCCTGGCTCAGCCTTTTATAATGCTTACCTTCTTCTCAGTGCTACAAAAATGTTGAACTAATTAGCTCACTAACTCATCAGTTACCTGGGCAAGGGATCCTGACTACATTAATTACATCCAATGCCCTGGGTAATCTAAGTGGCTAGAATGCTGGCTTTCAAAGGGCTCATTTTATAGCTGCTAACATCATTCTGTCACAAGGGCAAAAGAATGTAGAACATTATTAGGAAGTATATAATGAAAGAAAAGGGTGCACTGAACATGTTTAGGTGCTTTGCTCAGTCTGGGCCCAAAAGTACAGGGGACAGAGGCAATTCCAAGTATATAGCATGGAAGAAAATGTGGCATCAAATGTGAAAGGACCTATGGTGCATGGAGCTGAGTGGAATGAAGGGTAGAACAGTAAAAATGATAGAAGAGGAGCAAGCAACAAGGATGTGGTGTGGTGGGGTACCAGGATCATGGCCCTACTACTTCTAAGTGTAGGTGGGAGGCTACCAATCGGTGGCTAGAACTAGAAGGGACTCAGCTGCCCCAAATCTGAGCAATTCTGCCACCTGTGTGCACAGCCCAGCTTGGAAGGTGAAGCCCTCCCACCCCCACTGCACCAGGGCTTGCTTAATACTGGGTCACTAGGTTGCTCATCAGCAAGCGGAGCAAGGACACTCCCTGGAGCCTAACAATGACTGTGAGGCCCCAGGATGGCAAACCGTCTATCCTAAGTGTGTTCAGTGAGCCAACCCTGTTACAGAACTGGTGAGTGTAGTTCTTCCTGGAGCTGGTGCCAGCAAAGCAGGGAGAGAGGAGAAAGCTGGTGAAGGTGAAGAGAGAAGAAGGTGTGGGGGAGGATAGTAGGGAGAAGATTATAGCCACTGGCATCGCCATACACACCCTTTGCTCCCATCTCTCCATATTTTAGGGGTTTTCAAACTTTTTTTCTAATGACCCAGTTGAAGAAAATAATTGATGCCTGCAACCCAACATAATTTGACCAGAGTATGGGCTCTAGAGTGGACTGAGGATGAGAATTTTGGGGCTCCAACTTTGGAGGAAGGAGGTCAGGGCTGTGGCAGGAGGGGCTTACCTTGAGTGGCTCCTCGTC